AGCAAAGGACAACAAATTAGTTCCAGTGCAGAGTTTAAATGGTGGGAACAGTAAATAATCCAACACAGAACTGAAAAAAAAAAAGAAAAAAACACCTACAGATCAGAGACAAATTTCTGATATTAACCAGTGAAGGCCTAACACCACCAAAGAACACCTGAAAAGCCTAGAAGGATTGGAAGCCCCCAGGCTCCCAAGGCGGGGTTGGGGGAGGGTTCAGGGCCTCAGCCATGCCCCCCAATACCTGCAACTAGTCCAGCCATGACACAGCTGACACTAGTAGCCCCCTGGTCTCCCCTGCTGGAATGAGGGGCTTACCGGAAGCCATGACCATGCCCCCTCCCTCCTTCCACCCTATTCTCCTCTCCTTTCCCCTCTCCCTCTCCCTCCCAACTGTTCCACAACACCTTAGAATATAAAAAGAAAATAATAATAATAATAAAATATATTTTAAAAATAGAATTAAAAAATATATCTTTCCATGAACTTCTGAAGTACCCTCATGTGTTCTCATGGTATCATGTGCCTTTAATTTATAGGTCTTTCCACAATTGTAATTTTAACATTATTTTGCATTATTTTACCCCAGATTGTCAGCTGCATGAGGGCAAGTCTCATGTCCAATTATGCTCATCATTTTAAAACTATCATTTATCACAAAATCTAGAATATGTTCTAGATGTTTGTTCTCAATAAATATCTATTGAGTTAATAAACTATTATTATGACCCTTGTATTATGATTATTTGAATGCAAGCTTACTCTCTACCACTTTCCAGCATGAGCTTTGTGAATTCCTCACATTCTAAAACTATATTCTGAAGTTTACAATATGCATGCCTCATCCCTACCAGTGAGGCAGAAACTCTTTAACGAGGCAAACCATCTTTTGACTTTCTCTTATGCTCTTGATATCGACAGCACAATGGCCTGTAGAAAGTGATCCCTGAACATTTTTAACTACAGGAATGAGTAAATGAGTGAATAAATGAATACCACTATACCTGGAGAATGTTTAGCATTGTATGAACCTGTCACATTTATTTGCTAAACTAACAGCAACTTGATATTAAGGACTATTGATTGGCCTGTTTGAATTCCAGCCTCACAACCTGTTAGTTGTGTATAACAATGCAAGTTACTTGACTTCTCTTTGCCTCAGTTTCCTATGTTTAAAATGGATATAATATTACCACAAGCTGTGGAGTTCTATGAAAATCAAATGAGCTAGTGCTCATAAAGTGTTAGGCTTAATATTTAGCACACATTAAGTATTCAATGTTTGTTACTTATAACAAATTGCCCACATTCTGTTTTCTCTCTTGTGTGTATTAGTCTGTTTCTGTGTCTTATAACAAAATACCTAGAACAGTGAGTTTTGGGGGGACGTAATTCAATCTACTACACTGTGGTTTCTGAAACAAATTAGTCACCCATGCATATCATCCTCCAACAGAGTTTCATTTTTGATGTGATCAATGAAATTTAAATTTGCCTGGGAGGGGATAACCAAGATTAGTTATATATTCACTGAATTAAGTTCATATTACACACTTCTTAAATTATTCAGCAAGTATTTCTTGATCAACTATTATATTTCAAGTTCTGTGACAGTTGTGGAGACCATAGTTTTTGCTGTAAGCATTTAAAATCTAGTGGTGGAAATAGAAATATTAGCAGATAATTACAACAGAATGTGTTTCCATGCTTAGACAAGGATAAGCACAGTGCTGGGGAGAGGGGCAAACCCAGTTCTGTGGAGTTAGAGAACGCTTCTTTCAAGAAGACTTCAGTTTGAGCCTTTTCTACTGCAGGACCAACTTGATTCTCATGAGAATAAGAACAAGTTCTGACCAAAGGGAAGCTGAGGAAGTATTGTAAAAATGGTAAGCAGAGGAAGGACAAACTATGGCTACAGGTTGAGGAATGGCGTCTGCAAATAAAGAAAGAAGTCAGCTCAGTGTATTGATGAAGAAGGAAAGAGTCAGAGAAGGAGAATAAAAGAATAAAAGAAAAGAACCACGGTAACCCCATAGTTTGGACTTAATGAACTTGTTTTCTTCTAGCCCAAGAAGCTGACCTTCCATTAGAATTTATTGCTTGATGCACAAACTCTTTACATGAATTTGTTATCACCAAGAAATCTACTATCCAGACAAACTCAGTGGACATTGTTTAGAGAAATAACTCCTGGGAAAATAGGATGATTGTTAACCTCTTGCATCTTAAACAAATATGGGAATTACTTACGAGTGGAATAGTCTAGAGTAACTATAAATATCATAAAAGGGCTGAGAAACCATTGTTCAATATATCACAATCAGTTATCCATTCTGTGTTTATATGATGTTTGCAATTTGTTTACTGCTTAGACCTTCCTGAACTTACATCAGAAAACCTCCTCACTTATTCTGCTTGTTGGGTAGACTTATACTGCTGATAGGCAGTTTCCCCAGTTTGCAAACCTGATAGGTGCCTCATTTACATTTCCCTACAGACTGAAGTGTTTTGCTTGAAAAATGTGAAGCCAGAGATTCAAATCCTGCCCTGCCACTTATTAGCTATGCAGCACTGGGTGAGTTAGTCTATCGCTTTTCCTTTAGTGGAGCCTCTGCTTCTTTAGGTGAAAGTTCAGGATGAGTACCAACCTCATAGGGTTATTTTGAAAAATCAGTTAAATTGTTTATGTGAAAGTTCTTCACACACAAGAAGTGCTCACCAAGGTGTCTGCCCAGTGATACCTTTTGCTTCTCAATCCTGCTCGTGGCTGATGTTGTTCAAGGCATCCGTGTTCACCAGAGAGGACATTGCTAAGAGCTTTTCAGAAGAGCAGGTAGTTTAAGAATAAAATAAAAATCAAAAATAAAAATCAAGCCTCCGTCAGAATTTCAAGATGAAAATTCTTTGTGTGCCTTCCACAGAGCTCCATAGAAAATACGACTGAGGCATGATTGGTTTCCTGATCCCAGAGCATTCCAATTAAACCCAAGAGGGATGATTCCAGATATAGTACCAATCGCTGCTACAGCTCTCCCTCAGTCTTTCTGAGGTTTGCTTTAAGAGCAGGTCCCCACTTCGCACACCCTGGTATAAATATGACTACATTTTACAGCTTAGAGAAGTATCAAGAAGCTTCCTTAATCAAAGATTGAGCACATACGTGTACATCAGAACCAGAGGTAAGTCCTTGTGCTTAACTTACTCTTTAACAAAGAGGAAATAGTCTTAAAATCTTAATGGAAGCTAACAAATAATTTGAAGTTTTCATACTTAAAAATCAGTTTTTCCCTGACTTTGCCTATCAGTGGGGCCCATGACACTTGAATTGTTCCTCTGATAGAAGAGATGCCTTTTCAGTGGCTGTGGGCAAAGAAGAGGAAGAGAAAGTCAGCTATGAAAAGTGTTAACTGTTTCTAACAGCACTCACTGTGTGCTTACTTCATGCAAATGAGTTTTCTAAGCATTTTAAATAGGTTAATTTCATTCCTCAGGAAAATTTCATTTCCCATTTTACAACTGGGAAAACAAAGGTAAAACAGGTAACCTGTATCATTCAATGTGTAACTGGTGGAGCCAGAATTAGAATCACTAATTGGAATTAGATTCACAAAATTCTGTCTTCCTAAATACTAAAGTATTGATTACTTATACGTTCAGTATATCAGAGAAGGTCCAGCATCATCTAATCTAATTCATTTATTTTGCAAAGGTAAAATGTAAATAAAGCTTACACAGAGAGTTAGTTGGTGACAGAACTGGATATAGGGTCCGGACACATCCAGAAACTTTGTTTGCTTGAGGGAATTGCTGAGCACACCTAGAAAGCTCAGTGAGTACCCCTGGTCATTTGCATCTGAACATAAGGACCAGCCTGATGACAAGTTGGCCATTAATGTACAGGTATAGTGAGAGTTGATGTCAGGGCTGAATTTGTCAAGGTTGACACAAGACATCTGTTGTCCCTGAGCCCCACTTCTCCATCTGGAATCCCACCTGTGTAGTGTACTCTTCTTTCCTCTCAAACACTCTAGGGAGTTGCAATTATTTCCTTACCACTGAGCTCTAAGCACCTTATCACTTGCATTTCAGTCATTTCTATTTTTTTATCTTCTATTTGACATTTCTAAATTAACACTGAAAAGAGAAAGGAAGGGGAAGCAATGAGAAGGACGTAGAGATAGCCGCACCCATACTCCTTCCCCTAAAAATAATATAATTTTTAAAACAGATAAAGGAGTTAGCTTTCCTTTATCTGTAATTTCCAACTGCATGGAGATTTATACATACCTGAGGACAAAATAGAAATCTACTGCAGTCAGTTGTTTCCCTGCATCTCCCCATTTCCACTAAATGAAGCAGTTACATTTACAAAGATTTTAAATCACCTTGAAAGTGGCATCTAACTCTTCATCTCAAACATATTGCTTATCTTCACCCTTACAAACATAAAGGTTTCAGGCATGGCAGGATCATGGGCTTGCAATTTGTACAGATGCACAAGGACCTGTGTTCAAAGCACTGCAAGCTGGGTTTAATGCGCTGCTGTCACAGTCTTAAAATCTTAATAATTTTTGAACAAACATCTTTACCTTTTTATTTTATACTGGATACAGTCCGGACATAGCTGCCTCAGTGCCAGATTTTCAACCAGGAAATAGGTGAGAAATGCTTCACAAAGGAGTGACCTTTCATTTGGGCTTTGTAGGATAAGGTGAATTAGGTTTTTAAAAAGTGCAGAGAGATAGAAGAGAAGTAGCTCAGTCTTGTATATAGACATAAGTTTAGGTATAGATAGAGATATACCTATAGGTATAGAGATAATATATAAGCAATTTAATACCTAGGCAAGTGGTATAATGACTTTGTAGACTTGTAAAATCTACAAAGGTTTAGATTAGTGCCCAGGAAAAGCAACCTTTGGATGACATGGAAGTTTAGAGAAAAGTGATTTTGATTGCCGTTAACATGATTTGTACATTTTTATTTGGTTTATTTCCATAGATTCAAGTGCAGGCACAGACTCGCAGGAAATGCCCACCACAAATGGCAGTGCAGCAGCAGAATTCATTTTACTGGGGCTCACAGATCGCCCAGAACTCCAGCCTCTCCTCTTTGTGCTGTTTCTGGCTGTTTACCTCGTCACCCTCTTAGGCAACCCGGGCATGGTGGTGTTAATCAGACTGGACTCTCGCCTTCACACACCCATGTACTTCTTCCTCACTAACTTCGCCTTTGTGGACTTGTGCTACACCTCAAATGCAACCGCACAGATGCTGACTAATTTCTTATCAGTGAAGAAGACCATTTCCTTTGCTGGCTGTTTTACACAGTGCTACATCTTCATTGCACTTCTCCTCACTGAGTTTTACGTGCTGGCAGCGATGGCCTATGACCGCTACGTGGCCATCTGCAACCCTCTGTGCTACAGTGTGAAAATGTCCAGGCGAGTCTGCATCTGCTTGGCTACATTTCCTTATGTGTATGACTTCTCTGATGGGCTGTTTCAGGCCATCCTGACCTTCCGCCTGACCTTCTGTGGATCCAATGTCATCAACCACTTCTACTGTGCTGACCCACCACTCATTAAGCTATCTTGCTCTGATACTTATGTCAAAGAACATGCTATGCTCATATCAGCTGGCTTCAACCTCTCCAGCTCCCTTACCATCATCCTGGCGTCCTACGCCTTCATTGTGGCTGCCATCTTCCGCATCAAATCAGCGGAGGGAAGGAACAAGGCATTCTCCACTTGTGGCTCCCACGTGATGGCTGTCACCCTGTTTTATGGGACCCTCTTCTGCATGTATGTAAGACCACCAACAGATAAGACTGTTGAAGAATCCAAGATAATAGCTGTCTTCTACACCTTTGTGAGTCCTGTGCTTAATCCATTGATCTACAGTCTGCGGAACAAAGATGTAAAACAGGCCTTGAAGAATGTCCTCAGATGAAATCTGATCGTAATGATGTCAATGCCTCCTCTTTCCAGTAAAGCATAATTTTAAACCTTTCACCGAAAAATTTTGGAATTTGATGAGTCTTAGAATTCTCTGTAGTTATGCTCCAAGCATCTCAGCTATAAAGCTCATCTTTGGGGAATAACGAGCTTTACTT